AATTTATAAAGTATGAATCCCGGGAGTCTGATAGGGGGGTTTACGTCACAGCGCAGTGTTGCCTTTATCACGCAAAATTATATAGGTAGGTACAGTAACACTCGTGTCCGATCGATATTGCACGCACTAGCGAGTTGTGACCATGTATATATATCTATACATATATTGAGTGACGTTCAGGAATTCGTTTTYAAAACGTGCAAGGTTCGATTAAAAATAATAAATCCCAATTTTTTGTTTAACAGGTCAAATTTAGAATCGTCGCTATTGGATCACCCCGAGTTGGCCCTGCTGTTCTACCTGTGCCAGATGATGTTACGAGAACTTGGAAAATGTAGTCGTCTTGTACAGCTTATACCGATGGACATGACAGGATATTTTGGTTGGTGGAAATCAAAAACATTACACAAATAAAACTCGATCTGCATGTCATTTGCAGCTATTATTAATTTTGTTTTTACTTATTAATATTATATACCACATAGAAAACCGAGCCGGGCCGTCAAACATCGGCAACGTCATTAGCCAAATACTTTTGTGCAAGCAAATCCAACCAGACTTCAACCAAGAAGAAATCTGTAGCATAGCCAAAGACAGTCAAGACCTGGCCAGGCTCATCCAAGACATGCAAGAATTCCTTCCACAACAAGACACCGCAGCTGGTACGTATATTATATAACTGCAGTGTATAAAATACACAATATGTGTGTACTTATATAACAAAAACAATTTATTTTTTATTATTATTTCCCTTTACGTTTTATTTAATAATAAAAAAACTACACTAAATATATTTAATGGTTATTTTATAAAATTTAATAAAATAGTCTTTATTTTTTTTTTCAAAAATTTCTGGTTTTATGTTCTGATATTCATATAAAGTTCTATGTTTGGCTCTTTAATCTTTCTTCTTGCATGTAATAAAATAAAATTCAGTTACAAATAAATATWTTTTTTTGACTAATATATTCTAAGTAATTTTTTTTTTAATTTAAATACCWWAATAAATTATTTTCTACAAGTAAATATTCAATACTAAACAATTGAAACGTTATAAACTAGTCGTACAAAGGTTTCAAAAACTTAAATCACATGATATTTTAAAATCGATGATTACGATATTAAAATGCGTATCTGATATTAATTTTCAATACCAAAATATTGCAATTTGTTTATAATCATCGATCTGTAAGAAAATTTAAAATAATTTGACATTTTTTTTTGTAACTCTATTAAAATTTAAAACCAATATATTTTCCCATTTTAGGTAGAAATTTGAATAAAATGTATGTGCTCATTATCTTTTATAACTTTTAAGTTAGGTTAGGTAATACTCTTAAAAATATTCTTGTACCCTTGTTGACTTACTGTAATTATGTATTTTTTTAACCAATTTACTCTCCGCCGTTAATCTTTACTTCACTATTTTGATACTTGGGTATTTGATATTTTGATACGCTAATACATTATTCGTCTTGTTTTTTGTAAAAAATAAAATTAACTTTTATTTTTTCAGAAAAAAATGCAGCGTTAGAACCAGAAAACAGCAAATGGAAACGAAAAGGAAGAAGAAATTCGATATACACCAATGTCAGCTCATGTTGTTGTTTTTGTAGACCAACTTACCTTTGATGTTTTATATTCGTTGTATTAGAGCATACACATATTATTTTCCAAGCTCAAAACAAAAACACCGTCTCTATTACACGAGTCCAACATTGTATCAAATACTCCAATAATAATGGTCAACCTACGTTGTTCGAAGCAGCTATTTAATCATTGTTAATTTAAAAAATATTTAG